ATATGATTGAGTCAATTAATTATGTTATCACTGACAAGTCAATAACTCAAACACCGAGTCAACAGTAAAAATCAGAAGTAAATATGATTGAGTCAATTAATTATGTTATTACTGACAATTAGTCAATAACTCAAACACTGAGTCTACAGTAAAAATCAGAAGTAAATATGATTGAGTCAATTAATTATATTATCACTGACAAGTCAATAACTCAAACACTGAGTCAACAGTAAAAATTAGAAGTAAATATGATTGAGTCAATTAATTATGTAATCACTGACAAGTCAATTACTCGAACACTGAGTCAACAGTAAAAATCAAAAGTAAATATGATTGAGTTAATTAATTATGTTACCACTGACAAGTCAATAACTCAAACACCGAGTCAACAGTAAAAATCAGAAGTAAATGTGATTGAGTCAATTAATTATGTTATTACTGACAAGTCAATAACTCAAACACTGAGTCAACAGTAAAAATCAGAAGTTGATATGATTGAGTCAATTAATTATGTTATCACTGACAAGTCAATAATTCAAACACTGAGTCAACAGTAAAAATCAGAAGAAAATATGATTGAGTCAATTAATTATATTATCACTGACAAGTCAATAACTCAAACACTGAATCAACAGTCAAAATCAGAAGTTGATATGATTGAGTCAATTAATTATGTAATCACTGACAAGTCAATAACTCAAACACTGAGTCAACAGTAAAAATTAGAAGTAAATATGATTGAGTCAATTAATTATGTTATAACTGACAAGTCAATAACTCAAACACCGAGTCAACAGTAAAAATCAGAAGTAAATATGATTGAGTAAATATGATTGAGTCAATTAATTATGTTATTACTGACAAGTCAATAACTCAAACACTGAGTCAACAGTAAAAATTAGAAGTAAATATGATTGAGTCAATTAATTATGTAATCACTGACAAGTCAATTACTCAAACACTGAGTCAACAGTAAAAATCAAAAGTAAATATGATTGAGTTAATTAATTTGTTATCAATGACAAGTCAATAACTCAAACACTGAATCAACAGTCAAAATCAGAAGTTGATATGATTGAGTCAATTAATTATGTTATTACTGACAAGTCAATAACTCAAACACTGAGTCAACAGTAAAAATCAGAAGTAAATATGATTGAGTCAATTAATTATGTAATCACTGACAAGTCAATAACTCAAACACTGAGTCAACAGTAAAAATTAGAAGTAAATATGATTGAGTCAATTAATTATGTTATCCCTGACAAGTCAATAATTCAAACACTGAATCAACAGTAAAAATCAGAAGTAAATATGATTGAGTTAATTAATTATGTTACCACTGACAAGTCAATAACTCAAACACCGAGTCAACAGTAAAAATCAGAAGTAAATATGATTGAGTTAATTAATTATGTTATCACTGACAAGTCAATAACTCAAACACTGAATCAACAGTAAAAATCAGAAGTTAATATGATTGAGTCAATTAATTATGCTATCACTGACAAGTCAATAACTCAAACACTGAGTCAACAGTAAAAATCAGAAGTAAATATGATTGAGTAAATATGATTGAGTCAATTAATTATGTTATCAATGACAAGTCAATAACTCAAACGCTGAGTCAACAGTAAAAATCAGAAGTAAATATGATTGAGTCAATTAATTTTGTTATCACTGACAAGTCAATAACTCAAACACCGAGTCAACAGTAAAAATCAGAAGTAAATGTGATTGAGTCAATTAATTATGTTATTACTGACAAGTCAATAACTCAAACACTGAGTCAACAGTAAAAATTAGAAGTAAATATGATTGAGTCAATTAATTATGTAATCACTGACAAGTCAATAACTCAAACACTGAGTCAACAGTAAAAATCAACAGTTAATATGATTGAGTCAATTAATTATGTTATCAATGACAAGTCAATAACTCAAACACTGAGTCAACAGTAAAAATCAGAAGTAAATATGATTGAGTCAATTAATTATGTAATCACTGACAAGTCAATAACTCAAACACTGAGTCATCAGTAAAAATCAGAAGTAAATATGATTGAGTCAATTGATTATGTTATCACTGACAAGTCAATAACTCAAACACCGAGTCAACAGTAAAAATCAGAAGTAAATATGATTGAGTCAATTATGCAAACGCTCCGACATGTCAATAACTCAGACAAGGAAATAATATATGATGATGTAAAAAATAGTATAATAAATAATATAATATAAGGAACATAACATGATCAGTTACATACCTGCTCAGCCTCACCATTTCCACCAATCTCCACTCGAACCTTGTCTTTGACAGATTTAGAGATGGATCCAGTTTCACACACGATTTCGTTGCCACTGACTGACCTCACTGTACATTCACTACCATTTATTGATACAAAGCAGTCAGGCATGCTAGTCCTACAATTTCGATAAAAAATTGAAAATAAGGTTTGGAGGTCTCAGTTATAATTTCATAATTCCTCCTAAGTTGTCACAAAATTGTTTGTGGCGGGACTGGACTTGGTCAATCATCAGCAAGTAGGTAGCTAAATTTGAAGCAGATTCTGTACTCCACCATCACAAAATATGTGCTAACTAAATTTGGTAAATCCTGGTGAAAAAGCTTAGGAGACAAGCCCAGAGTAATGTTTCAAAGGTTAAGGTCAAAGCATAGATCATAGTGAATAAGCTGTTATACACTGCTCACCACTATCACAAAAACGGACTGGTTTCTCCAGGTGAAATAATGTAGAAGATATGCAGGATCACACTTTTTCAAAGGTTGAGGTCAAAGGTCAAAACATAGGTCACAGTGACCTACTTTTTATACTCACACTCCACCATCAAAAGATTGACTTGCAAAATTACTAAATCTTGTTGATTCAGTCAAAATATAGTAAAGTAATTTGCTCTGTTAGTTACTTTTGGGGCGGATGGAGTGAAAACCCTTATCCCCCTCCCCTCCAGATCTGGTCGGCTAATATCATTAATTCACCATTTCCCATGGTGTCCTACTTACCCGAATCCTGAACCAGTTATTGTGATGGTAGTTCCTCCTCCTGTCCCTCCATGTGTTGGGGTCACACCTGTGACCTGTGTAGTTATCGTTGAGTCATACGTGTAGCTCAGTGTCCGGGTGATCGAGTTCACCGTGACTACTACGCTACAGGTCGGTGTCGTGGTGCCTGGAGGTCAATTAAAGGTCAATAGTTTTTATTTCATTCAATAAAATATATACTTGTCTAAGGATTTATGCTAAGGAGTGTTCCCATTATACCTGTGAACAGTGTGAGGGTGATCTCCCTTGTATCAAAAAGTTTATCACTACTGTTTTTTGAGATTTGCAGCAGTAGATAGTTTCACTGGTGACGCAAAACAAAGCCAGAAAAATGGATATTTGCGACAGTATAATCATGATATACCACCGCAAAGCTCAAAATACAGTTGGATTTTCAATCCCTTTCTAATTCAATTATTTTATCAGCTAAAATCATCAAAAGAAATGACAATTTTAAGATGTCTTTGTGCATCAAAGTCTTCAAAGACTGGGTCTCTCTGCTCTGGATTGGTGACACTCAAAATGAGATGCAATAACATTGAACTTATGGGCTAATGTTATTGTTTGTGACGTCATTAATAATCAATTTCATGAGATGACGGATCAGTCAGGGTCACTGATTTCGTTAATAATTGCTTTCCAATCTTCATATGCAAATGAGAAATTTGTGGACGGTATATCGTCACAATTGTATTGTCGCTAATAATTTCAATTGACCAATCAAATACAATGTTAAATCACGAAGGAATAAGAAGATAAGCATTGTAGGTGTTGCAATGTTTCTAGGTCAACCTGTTCCTAAACCAAGCTTGAAAAGGCTAAGTCATCCGAGACAATCTTATGTTAATCTCTACATCCCTGGAACATGTCAGGACAAACTGTGACATATTACATGTACCAATACTTGATCGACCTTTAGCTTTATATAAATCTAGAGACTTTTCTGTTTGTATCACACTCATCCATTATCCAAACGAAATGGCAAATTTAAAACATTCTTATGTGCCTCCTCGTAGCCTACAGTTTACAGACGTTTCTTCCTATGTATTGTGGGCATATTCGTTTCGTTTTAGATATTTTATATGCTTCCGCTTTTTATGTAAACCCGTTCTTGTCACTACAAACTAATCACCGTTTGAAAGCGTCATCCGTAGCACTTCCGGACTGTTTGCGTAACGTTTGCATAGCACTTGCATACCGTCTCCGTAGCACTTGCGTAGCACTTCCGTACCATTTGCGTAACGGTGGAACAGTGAATGTGTACGGGTCTGTACAGCCAGTGCTGACGTTGGAACAGTGAATGTGTACAGGTCTGTACAGCCAGTGCTGACGGTGGATCAGTGAATGTGTACGGGTCTGTACAGCCAGTGCTGACGGTGGAACAGTGAATGTGTAAAGGTCTGTACAGCCAGTGCTGACGGTGGAACAGTGAATGTGGATGGGTCTTTGCAGCCAGTGCTGCCGCTTCGGCACTTACAACTAGCAATTTCTACAATTCTTAAGCGCTACCCAACCACATACTCATTTACAGCTGAGTAGACTGGAACAAGCAGAGTAAAGTATCTTGCTTAAAGATACAACACAGTGCCATACCGTGCCAGCAACCCTTTGGTCACGAGTCCAGCACCCTACCATTAGACTACCGTGCCTCTAAATGGTATTGACCAAGTCCTGGCGAATAAGACGTAGAAAAGTAAGGATCGAGGTGCACCTAATGTAAATACATAGTGTACCATGTATTCTCAAATAATGGAAAGGCTAGAACAAAGGAAATGCGAAATATCATACCTTCAGGTTCTTCAGAAGAACTTATAAAAGGAAAAAGTTGATGCATTGAATAGTCCATATAATATGCTGTATCTTATCGAGTTGGTTAAAAAAAACAGAACTAAGAAGTTATTTATCGAGTACTGCATACTTGCCAAATTTCTGTTTTGAAGGGAGACTCTCGATTTTGGACCCTAAAATTGAGCATTTTCAACCAGTGAATTTGCAAAACTATTCCTTTTTCCAAGATCTGATGATTTCATCTGAAAGAACTGCTCCAAAGATGCCATTTTAAAGTGCCATTTTTTCCATAGAATTAAACCCATACCTTTTATATATGTCTTAATTTTGAGCACACGCAATCTTCCCCATGGTAACGAATTTCAAAAAATCGGCAAGTATGGTGCTGAAACACTGAACAACAAAGACTGGTGGGTATGATACATACCATATATACACAGTGTCTTTTTGTGTATATCTGAGGCGACAAATGTAATATAAAGAAATTCAATCAGTGCATCTTACCTGAGGCAGCAAATGTAATAAAAAGAAATTATATGGGCGCATCTTACCTGAGACGACTAGTGTAATATAAACAAATTATATGGGCGCATCTTACCTGAGGCGGCTGGTGTAATATAAAGAAATTATATGGGCGCATCTTACCTGAGGCGACAGGTGTGACACAGAAAAATTGCGTTGCTGTAGATTCCTGTTTGGTAGACTTGACACAAGGCTCGGAACAGATGGTTGCCGTGGTAGTGTCATCAAACCCAGTTCCCAATATTGTCACAGCCTGGCCGCCACTCCTACTTCCTGTGGGTAAATATGAGCCATTGTGAGATATTGCCTATTACTTTAGTGTCAAACAATTTTCGATTAACAGTAATTATGTATCAATTCTTTTATTTTGGCCGTCACCCCCCCCCCCCCCACACCACAT